TAGATTTCAAAGATTTACTATGAAAAAAGAATGTAAAATATTTCATTAATAATTTTTATATTAATACATGTTAAAGAGGACTTGGGAGGTATATGAAAGATAAACTGGAAATCCTCCCCAAATGAAACAAATCTTTAGAAACCTCAGAGGCCTTAGGCTAAGATTATCTCACATAGGAGTCAAATAAGAATGATGCTATGGTATATTACAAAGAAAGTTGAGTCACAAGTATTTATTTCTAGTCTGAACCCTAACACTTACTACTGTGTAAACCATATGGCAATCTCCGGGCCTTCTGTCCTTAAAATGCTTATGAATTGATATTTTAAGCAGACAAGAAATAAGGCTTTTAAACTGAATTTAATCTGAAGTCAAGCAATATTATGATAAACTGACAAACATCAAAAATCAATAGTGACTTCTGCTATTAACCCTATCAACTTTTCACCCCACAAATACTGCAGCCTTCTACGATGACAGATACATTTTTTAAAAGAATGAGGAAAAACCACCTTTTATCTCCTACTTCTTCTTACCTCTATTTCTTGCATAATCTAATTACTGAAGGTAGAATATACATGATATCCTTGTCGAAATAAGGTAAGCTCTTCCCCTAAACAAATAATAATGAAAAATTCCAGCCCCTGCTAAAAACAAAATAACTTATACATTCTTCATTGGATACTATAACATAATAGATAAATGGCTATTAGAAAGGATCTTGAAAAGATTTCACACCTGCTTTTAGCAAGTATACCATGTGTCATTCTATTTTGCAGAAATGTCAACAGTGATCCCTCAAATAATTACTCCTCAAAGGCTAGTAAGTCATAGAAAGAAAACTAGAACTTACATTTCCTGTCTCCTAGAATAATGTACTTTTTACATTTTAATTACTCTAAAAATAAAATACTTACAGATAAAGTATGAAGAAGCTGCCCTGTGATAGAATTCCATACTTTCAAAAGGAAATTGTTCACTGCCGTAATAACTGTGGTATCATAGCGATCCCATGCTACCATAGTCACTTTAAGTTTAGTGACCTTGTCTTCTCCAGAGGGCAAATTATTCCTAAACAAAACAATTTGCAGTATTCATACCTTATAAATTTTTAACAAAGGTGCATGTAAAATAGCAAGTTTTGACAAAATTTCTCCAGGACACACAACTGGTTAGATTAAAAAATCCTAAACTATAGTTTTAAGTATTTGTGAAAACAATAAATAAAAATAAATAAATAAATACATACATAAATATTAACTTTTTAAAAACCTAATAGGCCTTATAAAAAAGTAGTAGAAAATTCAGTAACTTGTGATTTAATTTAATACAACATTATCTATAGCTGGCTATGATGACAAAGTCAGTTCCATATATTATTAATGGGAAGATAATTAATTTCAGGGCCACACTCCAAGGAAACTGTAGTGTCCCAAAGAGGTAATTATGTATCTTCCAATCAACAGTGAGGGTGATGAAACAGAATGCTGATTAAGTATACATATAATGTTGAGTAGGAATGCTAATAATGTGAAATATTATAAAAGTATCCTTAGTTAATTAGAGAAAAAGTTAAACATACAATGACATTTAATAGAGACAACCCTCAAAGTAGAAAGTACTACCAATAGATATTTTAAAAAATGAGCTATAGAACTAAGGCAGAGAATGACTCTGTGGGCATTAGTAGAACACAGAGATTTTGGGGTTACAACAGACCAGAATTTTGAATGAGTCAGCAATGTTCCTATCATCCAGTCTGTCAATCAACATCAAAAGGCAATCTGCTTAGAGACTGAATATAGATGTAAACTTCACATCTACCAATTATCTTCAAACTATTTATTAACATAAAAAGATTTTTCATGGTCATTATTAAATAATAACTCAATGTAAAGATAATATACTATATGAGAACTAATGAAATATCTAACACAGATTCTTACCCAGTCATTTTAGTAGCCATATCTAACACTATACTCTTCCACTCTTGTTGTTGATATTGCCAAATTCTTGCTGTTCCATCTCTACTTCCACTAACAAATCTTAAACTGGAAAGAAAGTTAAAATAGCCTGTTAATTTTCTTCAAACTGGAAATCACTCTTTTTCTGATGATAAAGGTAATATGTTCACCCTCATACACTACTCAAGGAATGTAAAATGGTACAGTCCCTTTAGAAATCACTTTGGAAAACAGTTCCTCAAAATGTTAAACATAGTTCCACATGACCCAGCAATTCCATTCCCAGGT